CGAACCTGGGTTAGCTACTTTGATTGGTGAATGGCACTCGGGCACCCGATACCATTACACTCATCTCAACACGCATATCTGTGAGCATAGTGGTCAGGGTGTTCGTCAGGGATGTACTGGGGCTCCCACCCTGTGGGCAGTCCTCATGACACGGTTTCTTAGGCAACTGTCTCGGCTTGTTCCCAAAGCTTGGACACGTTCCGAGATGAATGTGAGCTCAGACAATGTCTGCGGTACTTGGGCCTGGTCATTGACTGTCTTGAAGAACTTGGTTTGACTGTCAACCCGTTGAAAACTGTTGCCATGTTGCAACTTGGGGGTGCCCAACACCGTAAATGGCAAGCCTTGCTCACGCAGCGCGGGGCCAACGGCGCCTACCTGCTTTTGTCTCGGAAAAATGGTCCCATGCGGCTGAAACTCGTTTCCTCGGTTGTCTATCTTGGTGTTGGAATCTCCTACGCCGCTTTTGAGACATCAACCCAGTCCATGCGTACTCATGCAGCTCAATCATCTGCCATGTCCGTTAGTCGATGGCTCTATAGCAAACGCCGTTTGCCGTTTAAGATTAGGCTTGGTTTGTGGCAAACATGCATTGTTCCATGCGCTGAATATGGTCTGTTGGCGGTTGGCCTCAACACGCGTGTCCTTGCACGACATGTCACATGTCTCATGAAACAGCTTCGTATCATCACGGGCAATCAACCTTTTCATACTAATGACAGTCATTTTGCTGTTTTACACGCCTTCGGTCTTGAGCATTCCATGGAGTCTCTGCGGCGATCTGCACAGGCCCGTTTGCGTCAGCACGAACGTAATCTGACCATTTTGATCAGCAGTGATATTGTCGTGAGTCATTCTCAGTTCTCGTTGTCTGATTCTCTTCATGTGATCGACTGCTTTCGTGAGGCCCTCTACACGAGTTCTCCCGCTGACCTGCCTACTTGTCACCTTCGGTCAGGCCTGTGTTGTCATGTTTGCAATGCTGCTTTCTCTGACGTGACTGATCTTCATCGACACTTCACGCGCAGTCATGCCATGTTTTGCATGCCACAAGCTGTTGACTATGAGTTGCACGCGGTTGGAGGTCTTCCGGAGTGCGCACACTGTTCGAAGAAGTTTGACAATTGGAGTTCCTTTCGTAAGCACATCACTCAGAAACGATGTCATGTCAAACCGTTTGCACTTGACACTGCCTCGGTAATCACACATGCAGTCCCAGCCACTCTGTGGCGTGATTTGCTCTCGTTTGATAAGTATGATGTTCCTACTAGGACCCATGAAACACAGCTCTCCCTTGATGACTTCTTTGTTGCCTCTGCTCACACTCAGGCTATGAACCTCTCTGCACTTCGAGCACGAGTCACCCATTTCGTTCGTGGTGAACACTGGCATGATCTGCTGCAGGGTCGGGAGGTGTGTGTCCCATCACTGTCTCAAGTGTGGACGATGGTGCACACGCAGTCGTGATCTGATAGTTCACCTACGGGAGGCACACCCACAGGTGCTGATTCCTGGTATTGATCAGATGATTGCACTACAGAAGAACCTTGTACGGAGCTCACCTCGCCCTTTCTGCTCTCTTTCATGGAAGCAGCAGCATGGGTGCCCCATTCTGCTCCAGACCGCCATCTTGCAGGCTGAGCTGACCAGCACCTCCATGGATGACGCTGATCCGAGCACTACTGTTCCGACCTCAGCCGAGACTGGATCTGCTCATCAAGTTTCCCCCTCCTGGACGTGTCATCTATGCTCCAAGACTTTTGAAGCTCGGGTGCACTTGACTGCACACCTACAAGAGCATCAACAGCAGCTTCACCGATATGATCCAAAACGTGACCCAGTGGAAGGAGAACCAGCATGCTCTCATTGCGGGCTTTTGGTTACTTCTTTGGATGCCTTACGGAATCACATCACGAAAGGGCACTGCAAGCACTTTGATCCACGCAAACATGTCCTTGACACTGCCATTAGCCCTGACCTCAAGGCTGCCTTGCTGAGCGGCCGCCTTGGACCTTATCTTCGTGAAGCAGGCGCTCGAACCTTCTTGACGGTGCAGTGTCTGTGCTGTGGCAGAGTGTTCACTGGTGCAAGAGAGCTCTCACGGCATTTGCGAGACAGGCACTCCATACTCTGGAACGATGCTCTTCATCTCGGTCTCAGCCTCAAGCAAGTCATCAGTCCTCTGACCGGATGTATTTGCAACCCTTCTGTTGCTATGATGAGTGTGTGGGACTTCGTCAACTGGCCATGACTCACCTTCGATTGCATGACACCCTGTTGGTTCCTTGGGTCTTTGAGATGGACATGCTTCAGCAGTTGCTTCGCCCAGGCGCTTTGCCTGCTGACCTGGTCAACACTCTGTACACCTGGCTTATTGGCCGACACTTTCATGAGCTGTGGCAGAGCAATGAATTGATCCAACTTCTCAGTTCCTGCTGCTTCATGTGCGATTTTCGGGACATGGAACTGACCTGCAAGTGCATCTCCTAGTCGATCATCATTGCCAAGAACGTGGTCTGATGATGTTTGTTCATCAAATCATTCGGTTGCTGTCCACACCCTCTGACTCCTCTATGGGGTGCATGTTTTGTGGCATGGCTCGAGATGACCTCCAGGCCCACCTACTCGCTTGTCCCACGTTGATTCAGATCTCCTCGCTGCTTGCTCTCCCCATTCATGAGCGATTTTGGCTTGGAGTCCATGGAGGACGCTTTCACGGAGCAATCATTGGCGGCGCTCCAAGGCTGGGGCCAGTCGGAGGCTATGGGAAGAGATCCGGACCAGCTCAAGCGAGCCAGAACTGGGCAAAACAAGCGAGACAGGCAGACAGTGGAAAGGGAACCTCCCTTGAGGGATCTCATTCGAGCAATGGGCCATCTGATGCTGCGTCACGATCAAGACCTACAGGTGTTGGCACTACAGGACACATTCATACTCTTCTTGGTTCCAAGCCAAGAGGGCAGTATCCCTCTTCTTCAGGCGGCGCATCGTCAGTGGACGGACCAGAAAGAGAAGACCTCCAATCTTCGAACACATCTGGTCCTGGCACTTCTGAGAGAGTTGCAGCGCCGCCTCTTGAAGCTGATGGCGTGCACCGACCAGGACCCACTCCGGGTCACCATGGTGAAGAATGGCATCCTCTTGGAAGACCTGACTTGGCCGTACACCCAGTGGGACCCCAAGGAAAAGAAGTTGGTCCTGTCCAAAGCCAAGACGCCCTTGTCCATGACAGCGGCCCAAGAGATTCTCGAAGAGCTCCTTACCCTGGTCAAGGAAGAGGGGGCGATCCAGAAATTTCATTCGTTGAGCAAACAGGAAGCCACGAAAAGTCAAGCATGGAAGCTTCAGGTGGGGGACAGCCTGAAAGCCTCGCCGTTGGCCTTGAAGATCAAAGACATGATCACTCGCATATGATTGCCGTTGAACGCAGTGGTCTGGCCAGAACCGTGGCCAGTTGGGTGATGCAGAATCCTGCCAACCATTGCTATGTCAACTCCTCCATGATTGCCATGATTTGGGCCAATCTTCATCGGCAACATTTCTCTTTTGATGATTGGGGGGTCCTTCAAGAGGGCTTGAAGGCCATGATGCAATGTGGAACTGATCCCTTCTTGATTCTCGAGATGCGGCCATTCCAGGACAACCTTGCTGCTTGGGACGGTACTCGACAGCACGATGCTGCCGAATTTGCCACTTTTCTCATGTCCAAGATGGACTCAGCCGCTGTTCATAGCATGTGGGAAAGACGATTTGAGCGAGACACTGGTGCAGTAAAAAGACATGCGCATGCACTTGGAGCTCTTTTGATGCACCTCCGCGTCATGCCTGAACCTGTCCATCCACTGTGCCATCTTGTTGAGAATTGGCACACAGAGTCTGGTATGATCACGGCTTTTTCCCACCTTCCATCCATGATTTGCATACATTTGGACCGCCTCCGACCTTTGGCAGGCACCATTCATGGTCAGAAGCTCATGTCCAGAGTGTTGATTGATGCTGAGTTCCGGATCCCATACTTCACAGGTGATGACATCCAGGTTGAATACCATGAGTTTGTCCCCACCGCAGCACTGGCGCACCTGGGTCACCCTGGCGCTGGGCACTACCGGGCCGCCTTGAAGTGCCTTGATGATCTGACCTCTACTGAGTGGCTGCTGAGCGATGACGACATGAGTACCATTTCTGTCCCCAAGCTCCCTGGCTGGTTCGAAACCCAGGTGATGATGGTTTGGGCCATTCGTAGGCGAGATCTGTGCAGATTGACGGTGAATTTTGAGACACCTCCAGCAGTGCCGGCAATCGACCAGATGCTAGCACTTTTTGCTGATTAGGCACTGACCGCCTGAATGGCGGCACTTGATCTCAGGATCACTAAGACTTCCTATGGAAGCCGTGACTTTCGTCATGACAGGATTGCGTTAAGACGCCATGGAGCTCTTCGCGTCTGAAAGGCCGAGAAAAAAGGCCACCTAGTAGCATCCTTGTTACTAGTAGCTTCTTGTTACTAGTAGCGATGGCTTCCAACCTAAGAGCGATGGCCTCCACCTAGTAGCATCCTGGTTACTAGTAGCTTTTTGTTACTAGTAGCGATGGCTTCCAACCTAAGAGCGATGGCCTCCACCTAGTAGCATCCTTGTTACTAGTAGCGATGGCTTCCAACCTAAGAGCGATGGCCTCCACCTAGTAGCATCCTCGTTACTAGTAGCTTCTTGTTACTAGTAGCGATGGCTTCCAACCTAAG